TGGCTCCATAGGGCCAGCTGCTGAAATGAAATCTTATTCCTCAGTTACCTGCTTCTCAACAAGACATACTCCCAGCTGCTTTCTTGAGAGCAGCTCTGTCGACGTTCGAGTCACCTGGTGGCTCATGTTCTGTACTCCATTTTTTTTAGGCTTAGATTTGGAAGACCACAGTCCCTAAATAACAATTAACTGTTAATTTTTTCATTGCCACCATGAATTTAAACACCTAGAAATTACATGTGTCTGTTGTTCCAAATGTAATTATGGTGATGGAAATCAGCTTGTTCAAAAGGTGTAGTCAGTCATTGAGTTAAAACTTTTAATTTGATTACCTGCTTCAGCTAACACAGGGTGCTTTATTTTACTGTCTTGCATAATATGACACTTGTCGTGCAGGATGTTATTTATAATAAAAGTAACATTCTAGCAGGTCAGAAACGAATTGTAATATAAATTATAAAGTGCACCTGCATTTCTCGTTAATTGCAATGGACCTTTTAATTGCTACACTGCATACTGTTCCTGACTAGAATAAAGAAGTAGATCTTTATGGAATACTTTTTATTTCTGAACTCTGAAACCTTCTATGTATATGTGTATACATAGATATGAATTATGGGTGGAGGGTGTAGACATGTATTTGTATAAAACATCTCTAAAAGAATTCCTGGAAAGTCTTAGGCAAAAAACATCCCTATAATACTGAGCAACATTTAAATTAGTCATCAAAGTTAAAAAACTAAAAATAAAAATCTTCATGATAGGAAAATTTTTAATGTTTTAAGGGTTGCAGCTGAATTCATAAGGGTGATAAAACTGACAGTGTACTTAAGATGAAAAAGGAATCTTGCCAATTGCTATCTCTTCTAGGAGACAAGAAATCTCTTTGATTTCTCGTTCAAAATACTATGCAGCTCAATAATTTTGCTCACGGGGGTATTGAGTTGAATGCTATGTCTCTTCTGTGCCAGAATTAACGTATTTAAACTTGTATCTTTCTCAGATACATCCTTAGGGTACCATCACATAATGTCTCCACTGAGCTATGCACTTTACAAATGAGTAGAAACGAGGAAATTAAAAAAATGAAGCTGTTCCTGAGAGCTTAGGTCTCAGGGAACCTGGCCAGGTTGAGGAACAGAGGTTTTATTATGTGGTTCACAGTGTAACACTGGATGATGATTCGCAGTCTTCCATAACTGGAGCAGAAAAAGACACTGCCTCAGAAAGATCTGAAGTTATGCTTCTGCTTTTAGGATTACAGGGAGTTAGTTTTTCTTTATATTTAGAATCTGTCTCAATTTCACATGAAAAAATTAGCTCGTTTTAGATAACCTATTTTGGCTTGAAACGAGCATTTGACCTCTTTGACATAAACATTTTTCAGTGAAGAACACTGTAATAAATGTAATGCTATAAAGATGGTTTCTTCTCTACATGTCCTGTACAACCAAAATGGGTAAGTCTGTGCATCAGGAAGGTCCAGAATTTCTGGCTGCATAACAGTACTTTGTTAGCGATTCAGAGACTGGTACGTAGAAATATTAGTACAAGAAATACGGGAGTCCAGCTGCATCAGGACTTCTTGTCGATCTGGTTGTGCTTCCAGAAATCCTGGACAACAAACTCCCTGAAAACAGTCATTCAGAATTCCATTAAGAAAATCTAAGACAAAACCAAGAAAGTAGAACTGTTAATTTTTTTGCTATTTATGGTGTTCACTTTTTTTATGTATTCGTTTATGTAAATGTAAGTATATGTGTGCATGTATGGGTATAACTATATTTTATATATAAAGACAAAAAATTTTGGAGGATTATATTTTCACAGTAAGTATCATCTCTTTTCTTGAAAGAACAATTTGGCACCAGTAGCTTGTGTTTGTTTAATTCTAGGCAGTTATGGAAGAGTAACTTGTTTATGAGCTTAAAAAAAAAAGCACAGTGGTGGGCTCATATGTCTAGTAAATATTAGAATATACTATTTTAAGAACAAAAGCAAATAAATCTGCTGATTTAAAATCTGTTCTAGATCTAAAGCAGGAACTCAATCTAGAACTGTATTGAAAGACTGTTCAGAGAGAAATTTGCCAAACCTTTCAGCTTATATATGGTAATAGCTTCAAGATATTATATAATAATTATATTAACAAAAACTATTATTTATTATTATAAAAATATATTATTATAGTTAATTAATTTATAAAACCAGCATTTTCATGCTCTAAATGTAATTATTAACGTTGACTTTTGGGTGTTAAAGATATATACTTTCTCTTTGGTAAGGGAGGCTGAGGGAAGATCTTATTCCTCTCTACAACTGCCTGAAAGGAGGGTGCAGCAAGCTGTGTGTCAGTCTCTTCCCCACAGTAACAAACAATAGGACAGCAGGGAATGGCCTCAAGTTGTGCCAAGGGAGGTTTAGATTGGATAGTAGGAAAAACGTCTTCACAGAAAGCTGCCTGTGGAAGTGGTTGAGTCACCACCCCTGGAGGAATTTAAAGGACACGTAGATGTGGCACTTGGGGAAATACTTGAGTGACAGACTTGGCAGTGCTTGGTTAACAGTTGGATTCAATGACTTTAAAAGTCTTTTCTTGTTTCTAATCAATTTTATGATCCTTGGCTGGTACAGAGGCTTCTCCTTTCTTCACTTTCTAGTGTTCCTGAAGACGTGGCATGTTTAGGGTAGCCAGGCTGTGCGATGTAGCAGCTCACTAGTGAGGTCTGGTCAAGAGTGTTGTATCTGATACTTGACTTTTTTACTCTGTTACTTCAGACAGGGGACTGTAGACCCTGTAGAGTATTTATTCATCTAGTATAGCGATGCTCATCTTGCAAGGATGCCTTGTTAAGGAAACACAACAAACACCACTAAGATGAAATACAGGTAAAGTCCCAGCAAAAGTTTCACTAGGTTGCAAGTTGTGTAAAATAATAGTTTAGTTGCATGCTTTTGTTATTTTGGGGTTTTTTTAGCTCAGAACTCTTACTCTCCTCAAATGTAATCTTAATCTAGACAAATTTCTTGCTTATACCGTGAGGTCAGATGCTTATTTTTCTGTGAAATGGAACATAATTTAATTCAGCCATATGCTTATGCCACTCTGTGCTAGCACAGTTTTCAGTGCTGACCAAACCAGGCTTCTCCCATTTTACACTGTAAGCTGGATGATATTTAAAAGGAATTTTAACAACTTTTATTTTTTCTTCCCTTGTATTCGCCCTAAGCAAGTGCTTTTACTTAAAATATTAAGGAAGTAGCTTGCTTTCCTTGTAAATAAATGTTTCAAATGCAGAACACTTGTAGTCACTTGAATACTTTTATTCTTTGGTAATTACAGTGAGGGAAAAAGAGTCATATAAGATTTCAATGACAAAGTTAGGTTTTTTTTAATATAGAGTGAAATGTTTTGGTGATTTGAATACACATATTTCTGTAAGATAGATAATGACAGTTGCAAATTATAAATTTCTATTCTACTTAAATAAAAGTCTAACCTGTGGTTTCTGAGATGTTTGTAAGACTCTGTGTGTATGTGTATGCATGTGTGCAGGCAACTGTGTCTACCAACAACTGTTTTCAGTACTTTTTTTGTTAAATGATATGATGCTGGCACTTTTTCTTGATTCAATTTTGCCTGAAGCTTAGTCCTGTAACTTTTCTAAACGGACTTCTTTTTTAAGCCAGCCATCAGAAAACTACCCAAAAGCTGCAAAGCAATGAGAGCATAGTTCAAAATAGATGTCATTCCATATAACTTCTCAGTGTGTTCTGTGGGCACTGACCATCATCGCAAGTATGGGGCACTAGAGAAAGCAAATATGATTTTCCTTCTACTTTAATATATTTCTACATTCAGAAATAATATATTGATATTAGCAGTCATGATTCTTCATTGTCATGTTGTGTTCTTAAGTATTAATACAACTTTATATTATGTGTAATGTAAGACTAACCTCTCAAACTCAGTTGGATCTTGGAATAAAAAAAATAAATAAATAAAAACCCCCAAACCAATAACCTGGTTTTACATATTTTTCTTTGATCTCAAGTAATCTTAACTAAATAGTAACAACAAAATTCTATTATTATGTAAAAGTGATTCTTTATTGTTTAATTTAATTGCTAATGATTTGATCTTTCCATACAGGTAATATTCAAAGTCACATCAGTTTTGTGAATAAGTGTGGTGGATAAATTACAAGGACTTTATACAAAACATAATTTTTTTTTCTTCAGAAGGGATCTACTCATAATGTTAATCCCAAAGGGTTCACATTCTGTCAATACTCTTCCCTGTTGGTCTTGAAATTTTTTTGCATGCATCTCTTGATAACTTTGGAAGCTTTTGCACAAAAGTTCACATCTCAATATATTTATATAGTCATGGTGAAAGCAATCTTACCTGCAATGTTTATGTTTTGGATAAGAAAATGAATTGATGAGTTGTACACTGAGACAAAGCAGACATCTGAAGTTGTGTGCCATGCATAAGTCCTATCCTATTCTTTGTTATGGACTGTAAACTTCACCTACTTTTTGTGAATCTTGACTGGAATGCTTTACACACATTGTGTGACGCAGTCACTGAAATATCCTTTTCCTCAATAGGTTCAGATGAGTCTGTGTCACTTGTTACAGATCCAGTTTGGTAAAGCTTGATGCTAGAATCCTTAGTTGCTGTTAGTTCACACAAAAGTCTAGTCTGAATAATTAACAGTTCTGGGTTCTGGTGTGCTTGTTTGCTACCTGCTGTATGTAATTTGGATGCTGAATTTAGTGATGTTGCAAGTTGTGCCTTGAGCTTTTCTTTTAAAATATATTTAATACCACTTTAAAAGAGTGTTTTTCTGATAATTTTTATATGAAGAAATCTATGGCACACACAAAAAATAATATAAATGATAAGAATTAGTTATGCCTCGTGTTCTGGTATGGATAAGCACTTCAATAAAAAATAAGTTTATAGAAACATTGATTTCAATTTTTTGTTACAGACTAGAGGAAGAAAAGAATATTTTATCAGAATTTCAAGAGGATTTGAACAAGTTGATTTTATGGTTAGAGGAAGCAGACAGTGTTATTGGAATTCCCCTTGAACCAGGGAATGAAGACCAGTTGAGAGACTGCCTTAGCAAAGTAAAGGTATTGTAAGCTTTATTCTTAATGTTCTCTTACTTTATGAATTCTACATTGAAGAGAATCAAAAGCTATTTTTAGAAAAGGTTTCTGCCATCAAATACCGCATTCATTTAATATTTTTAAATAAATCAAAGCAGTGGAATTTCAAAACCCAGGAACAAATGTGTACTGATCATATTAAAACCAGAAAAGTTATGGAAAATATACTAAAAGGAAAGTATCTGTCACTAGGCAATTAATCATTATCTTTTTCATCCCCATTTCTTAATTCAGAACTTGACTGGTTTATATGAACAACATTTCTCTATAGGTGTCTTGTTAACATTTTATGACTTCTCACTTGCTAAATGGTATTCAGTATTTCACAAGAGTATCCAGAATTGTATGAAACATTATAAATGTCAACTCATTAAAATATAGCTGCATCATTTTCTAGACTAAACATCTAGGTGACTTATTTTTAAAAATGCTTTAAAAAAAACCCCTCAGAATATTAAATATTTGTTTTTAAAGGTTAGGATATTTTCATTCATAAGTTAGAAGCCTGATAATGCTAATAAATGTATTCAACAGAAGCTGCTCTGTTTAGTTTTTTTAAATGTGTTCAATAGAATGACTATCTTTTATAATTTGTACAACAGTAAATTAAACTGTAATTGGAAATTGCATATCACTTATAGAACATATGCCTAAAGGTTTCCTGTTCTCTCTTGAGGATAAGGACCTAGTTACACTTTATGTCAATCCAAGCTGAACAAATTCAGCAAGTGATGTGTAGAGCATTAAGGAATCAGAAAAAAACTTGTCAGTTTTTTCTATCCTTCTTTCAACAAAATATGAAAAGAAAATCCAAAGGATTCTTTAGTAAAAATCTATCTTTAATTTTCTTTTTAAATAATAATTTTAAAAGAATAAACAGCATTTGAGGAAACGGAAGCTTAACCATGTGCTGAATTTGTCTCTCTGACTGTTTTAGCATAAGATGTCAGTGAGTTGGTCAGAGAGTCTGTGAGGCTCTGTCTCTGTTGCTAAAGATGTCAGACCCAAGGCAAAGAAATACTAACAAGGGGTGTTAGATGCACCTTATCATTTGCAGATATGATTAAAGGTTTAAGGTTGATTGCTTAGAACCATAAAGGCTCCACTCCTCATATATACAAAAAATATTTCCTAATTATAGTATTCCAAAGGGATATATAATCCAAAATTAAAGGTGTTAAACATCTCTTATTTGTATCTTCTTTTTACAGTCCACCTTCTTCTGGGGCTGCACAAATGCACAAATACATCCTAGTGCAGCAAATAACAATTCATTGGCTTGTAGCCTGGCTAATTTCATAGTTACCTGCCTATGTTAATAATAAAACACAAACAAGAAAAAAAAAAAAAAAGAACAACAGAACCCTCAAAGAAGAGTCTATTAGCTGCCTTAACCTTACTCAATATATTAACTTGGTTTGACAATATAAGTTTTCAGTAACTACACATGTGATGGAGAAGTGAAACATTTAGATACTGCCTTGCATTCTTTGGCTTTCCTTTTTAATTTTTTTAATGAACATATATGAACAATCTTAATTAAGAGGTTAGGCTGGAGGACTTTTCTCCACATACCATCTGGATGACTGTTCGCAGCATGAAACATATTAAAACCCTTCTCCAAAATGATTGCTCCTCACCATATTAAAAGATTATTAAAATTCATATACATGAGATATTGAGTGTTGAGAGCTAGAATTTATTGTGCAATAGTGATTAATATCTTGAGAAAACCTATATTTTGGCATTTAGGACTCTCTTTAGGCTTGATTAACTAATACAGTCTCTTTTGGGTTTGGGTTTGTTTGGGTTTTTTAGCCTTTTACATTCAGAAAGCAATAGTTTTTTTGCCTTGAATTGAGTTTATTCCTTCAGCTGATACACAAATCGATAAGGGTGAAGATAAGAGAGCTGAAAATTCTACCACAGTTCATCTTAACTGCTGTATTTGTCTGTTCCAGTTAAGAGTTGAAGAGCTGCCGCCTCACAAGGGAATACTGAAACGATTAAATGAAACTAGAGGAATAGCACTTGGAAGTGCATCACTGAACCCAGACAAAAAACATAAGCTTGAGAGTACACTGAAGGAGGCTAACCATCGTTTGTTAAAGGTTAGACCTATTACTGTTATAACTGTGGTGTAAAATTTTAATCTGCAGTGAATATTTGCATTATGTATTTTCTGGTATGTATCATTTTTCTCTGTATGAAGAGACACTTGTATGCATAATGAACCTGAGGAAGAAAAACATATACAATACACTGCTGTGAGAAACAGTGATAGCAAACCAAGGCCATTAGTGCCTGAAGTGATGATGTTGCACTCAAATTACAGGTCTTCTGCTTCAGGGTGAAAACGCAAAGCATCATTTTTGTAGCCTGGTGCTTTTGCTGGTACAGCAAATATTCCAGCCTTTGTGACTCAGGTGTGTGAGAGGCAGTAGCCTCTGATTTTCTTTATGGAAACATTTTCAAATTCTCTTCTCTTCCAAATCCCAAGGTGGAAGCTGCACCCTCTGTTTCACCTTTCATTTTGTTTCTTCCAACCTTGATCATTCACTTTTGGTTTCTGTGTAGCAAAATACCATTTATTTTGCTTTCTGGGATCTCCATACTCCCAGAGAGAAATAAGGGAGGGTTTTGTTCAGTTTTATTGCTGAAGTAGCATATTTTTTTGTTATAAACTGATGAAAATGAGTAGCAAATCTGGTAAAGAGAGGTAGATAAATTGAATGCTCTCATGTAGCAGAAATGATAAAAGTGTAGTCCAGAGGATTACCACCCAAGGTATGGATTAGCCTGGCTGGAAAAGGTCAAGGTAGAATCAGCTGAAGGATTTCTGTTGAGACTGATGGCAAAGTCAGAATCTGGGAAATTAACCTGTGGTATTTATTTGTTAAAGTTACCAGGATGCTGGGATAAAAAAAGAAGAGTAATTTGTTGTGTTTAGCTCTGGGGGAAAAAAAGGTGAGAAAATAATCTTCTGAGTACTTTACTGAAAAGACAAGCTAGAGTTTTTGGTCAAGAATACTGCATCCTGGGTTTTTTTGTTACCATTTCTGTAAACACAGTTGATTTTCAAGCATAAACAAGAGAAATGAAAAGGAACTTATTTGATGTGGTGCTCTTACTGGTTTCTTCTTAACAGAAGCAGTCTGGCAAAGTTCAGAATATTAGCTAATGGCTCAGGCAAAAGTGGATAATAAATATTGATCACATTTACAAACTCCAAGTTGGACACATAAATCATTATTTCTGTGGTTGGACAGAAGTATCTCTTTCTTTACTAATGGGTTCCTGAAATCAATATATATATATATATATAGAAGAATTCAGAACACTTCAAGATCAAAATGGTGTTATTTACTAACTGAAGGAAGCATATGTATAGTTGAATTTAGGCACCACGATTTTAATATCTAAGCTGCGATATTAAAAAGACAGTGTTAGTTTTCAAGAAAAAGAAATTTTAGTAAGATTACATAAATACATTTTAAGAAAAGCTGCAATTTGTCATTGAATATAGGTTTTTACTGATTAGTCACATACCTAAAAACTTTGCATTTGCATTTTCTGCTTGCTGATGCAAAAATGTTTCAGGTTACTTGTCACAGTCATTGCAACCAAGAATATTGTTGAAAGTATTTAGGTTTGGATGAAATATGGTGGACAAGACTCCTGTTTAGTGATTCATTACAATTTACTGATTTTTTAGAATTTTATGTCTCTTAGATCTGAGCAATGTGTCTGGCAAAATAATTATGCTTTGAATTTACTACTTGAAATCTTTCATTTACTTATAAAAGAGACTAAAATGAGAAAATTAATCTTCCATTTGAGATCATTACTTAACCACATCATTTTGATTTCAGTTATCTACCCATGGAGATGTATAAAACCGAGTCCTCATTGGCTCTTTGAATCTAAATAATCTGAGAAAATGCAGTGGTTTGTGGGGGGTTGTGTTTTGTACAATTTTTTTTTTTTTAATGAACAGAAATCAAGTTTGAAAATTACAAGACTGAAATCCATGCACATTCTCTGATGGTCTTCTATTTCTTATAAGTTTTTCTATTTTTATTGTGATCTTGACAGATGTAGAAAATCAAAAGGACACAGAAGCTCAGTTTGGGTTTCTGTAAGATTTTTCCAATGAAACCTAAGGGAAAAATAATTGTTTTTTCATTTGCATATTTTCTCTCTTACTCATGATTTGTGTAGGAAGCCTCAGTTAATTGTTTCACTTTCTGACCTGAAAGTCAAGAGTCTCTAATAAAATTAGAAATCATGGAAAGAAACTCGGCATTCCTGACAGAGGAACTTAATGTTGTCTTCCTTCAGTTACAGATACGTAAGCACTGAAAAAAACCCCACAGATGTTTACTGTGAGTCAAAGCTCACAGGTCTGGCACTTTCATATCAGGCAGACTTTGTAGGTCACCTGAGAATGGTTCTGTAGTCAGTTGTTTTGATGAGGATATATTTTTTTTGCTGTTCCTTAAAGCATAGTAGACAAACATCATCACACAGAGATTTCTCTGGGGCTTTTCTGTCTCTCCATCCCCTCTTAAGAGTGTATCTTATACTTTAATCCTTTGTTTCTAACTGTTTGGTTTGTTTTCTGGCATCTCTGCTAAAAATGAACATGTAACGCTCTAGCATTTCTGATTATCTCATCCTGCAGGATGATGCTGTTTTCAAGATATGAAACATACATGACAGTTACATAAATAATGTAGGTAGGCCCTTATCTGGTGTACACCAGAGTAATTCTGTTTACTTCAGAGCAGCTGTGACAATTTACACCACCTGAGAATGTAGCCAGATATCTCCCAAAGTTATCACAAATTTTTGTTTTGCCTTGATCTGCCAAGCAGGGGAATAGGGGACAACACCTGTGAGTCTTAACCTTCAAGGTGACATATTTGAAATAAGTCATGTTCAAACCTTCTTTACAGTCACAGAAACTGTTGCCCTACAGCAATGGAAATAACCTAGAAAAGAAACTGAGTATGAAAGGAATTGCAGTCACATTAAAGTAGCTCTTTTGCTTTTAATTCAGAATTTTCTTTGCTTTTGGGTGTTTGTATCATGTGCTGATGACCTTGAGAGTAGATATATGAAGAGTTTTTCTTCCTTTGGATAGTAATAATTTTCACATGACTTTTCTTTAGACAACTTTATTGAATAGTGATTCATTAGGCTATAGGCTGTTACCTAAGACAATATAGTTTAAGCAGAGAATGAAGATTAAAGCCACATTTGAAAGGCATGACTTTTAAATTCTATCCTGGTTTTACTTATTGTACCCTCTCCAAAGCAGTATTTCTTGTAAAAAATAAAATAGCACTATCTTTGTGAAGTCTTAATATTATGAAAAATGAAGTGTTTTATGACCTTTTTTATGCTTTCACATCAAGAATTTTTCATTTATTTTCAAAGCTCAAAGTATCTTCTGCTGTGATAGCCAAGTAAGCTAACCACCTAGTGCTTCAAAGCATACAAAAGGGTACTAGGCACTGCAGTTTGTGATGAATTCTGTTCTTGTCATATACCACCTGCCATGGCATGTAACAGATCTGTAATGGGTTTCTTACCTTTTACTGTGCAGTAAATGGATTGATAGATTAGGTCTGAGACCAGTGAACCATGGAATCAGAGGTTTGCTGGAAGGAGTTTATTACTCTTTAATATTATTCTTGGTCTGGTGTCAGCCAAGAGCGATGAGCTAGATTATCTGAAAGTAAGCTGGATGCCAAAATCAGCATTCTCCTCATTTATCCACCTTAGTCTCCACAACATCTACTGTATGTATTATGAAGGTTATCATAAGTGCCTGATGGAGACATTTTGTTTTGCTGCCTTTTAATTTGTCTGCTAGTATTAGTTCTAATTACTAGACACTGAAGAGACTATTTCACTGTTTATTGCCACAGCAAATCAATTTGTTGTGCTATATGGACAAGAAAAAAATTAGAGTGGAGTGACACGGCTATAATTTGTGAACATTTTCTGTACAACCAGAAAAAGCATAGGTCGTCATAGCTTGGTTGATCAAGTGTAGAGAAAAACAGATGGGAGCAGAAAGTGCAGAAAGACAAAGTCATTACAAGGTTATAGTTCATGTATTGTAGCTCGCCTTGAGTAGAAATTATTCATAGGTTACCTGCAATGTCATAAAATTTCCAGCATGTCAGTGCAACTTAGTTTTAGCCCACAGTTGGAACTACTGCAATTGCTAGTGTTTTTATTTGTGGGGTGGAGGGGAAAATATGTCAGAAAATGAATGCTACAATTTGATTTCTGTTCTTTCAATTTGAATTTAGAATAGTATAAGCAGCATTTTGGGGATCAAAAGGTTGATAATTTCTGAATGTATTTTCATTTAATGAGTGACCTGATTCCATTAAATGTGACGGTATAGCCTTTTGTTATGCTGAATTACCTGTTACAGTTTGTCATAGATTGCTAATTAGGTGTAGTCCACATTCATGTTATCATCAGCCATATCAACAAATGGTTTCGGTATAATAAAATGAGGTTAGATGTAAATGTTCATTGGACAAACATGAGAATGTCACAAGCTCTAAGAAACAAGTATATATAGGCTTAATTCCTTTTTATTGCTAGCAGCTAGCATTAATTAAGATTTAAAAAGTTAAGCAAGGAAAAGTATTTATGGTATACAGTCATACAGAGGTAAAAAGTTTGTTACTACATTGAGGTAATATTGATGTAGCTGAATTACCAGATATCAAAGAAGTCACTTCAGGCAAATTCTTACACATTTTTCTACACTGCAACAACTATGTATTTGAGAGTCATTTCTCTTCTAATGAACAATGGTTCACATAGTGTTGCACACCAATCAATGACAATCGTCTGGGCTTTTTAAAACTTCAGTTCCAAGACAGATGCTACCATTGTCTGTCAGGTGTTTCGTGCATCTCTTTTAAGGAGGACTACAGGGGCCAAAAAAATCAATGTTTTGCTATTTGCTGTTCACAAGATAAAGATTATACTTCATTTATATAGGCCAGTTGGTGTAGAAACATGCCCATGTAATTAAAATTCCCAATAACGGAATAGTCTGAACTAAACTTTCCCTTCC